TTATGTCGTTCCGACTGCTAGAAGCAAACGCGTTTTGGATAGGCACCAAAACCTTCAGGCGTGGGAATGGCCTTGCTTCTCTCCGACACGCCTGTGACTCGGTACGCTTGTAGCCATTTGTCAACCCAAGGGAAGTCTTTGTTGTTCACGAACTTAGGCTAGAACGCATAGCGTACAGCTTCGTGATAACCGGCGATGACACCATTGTAGATAGTGCGCCGTAGTAGAATCCGCGGGTCAAAGATATTGGACGAAAGATGCAATGTTTAGGCCCGCAATGTTCGTGCAGCCTGGGTGCCCTCGTTCGCTGTGTCAATACAGGGGCGAAGGGGTACAGCGCACCACTCGACATACAGTTGCAGCAGTTGGGTGTTCGGCGGTAGGCACTATGCAAGCCGGATACGGCAATGCAAATCAGCTGCTAGCAGTTGTTTTGTATTTGCAGAGTATGACGTTGTCGATGTTCTTTGGAGTGGGGCTTATTCCGTTAGTGCAGGCTCGCTAGAGCACAGTTACACTTTCTGTGCATCCTTTGAGTGCCTTCTGCTCTGGAAGCATCTCCACTCCGCCTGTTGGCTTCTCGCTCGTTTCACTTCGGTTGGGAGGGTGAGCTTGTGAAGTTTCCTGACTTGTTTTCACTGACCAGGAAGTGCGTGATGGTCTTCTCTCCGCACCGACCCGCTGCTGGCGAACGGTAAAGGGTGGTGAACAGCTCCTTTCTTGCCTGATAGTCTGCAAGGAAGACTTGCGAAGGATGGCGTGGTGCTCGCTTTTAGCTTTCACGTTCGTCGTTGTGCTTCGGAGGACGGCGGGCGTGGCCGTAGAATGAACCTTTTCTCGGAAGCACTTGCATCTGCTTGGTGATCACTAGCCACTACGTTCCGTGCATCTACTGATAGTAAGCAGCCTAGGCGACGCGTCCTGTTTCGCGTGCTTTCGATATGAAAGTAGCGTGGCTTTTGTGTGTGTATCACCGTCTGTCGGCTTGCCAGAAGTAGTACAGTGGTTTTCCTTCTCGTTGCATGGTTCGTTTATCGATGTGTTCACAGCTTGCAAAGTGCCTGCACTGCAGGGGGTTTTATTGGTGGTCGCTTGCTTGCTTGCGAGTTTGTTGTATTACAGGTCACTGGAAGTGGGATGCCGATGAACTGTGCGCCCTTCTCAAGGGACGAAGGCCCGACGTATGACAGCCCGTATTGAGCACTGGACCATTGCAACTGCTCGCGCGTGGCATATGGTGTGGCATTTGTAAGTTCGCGTGGGTTTTCGCTGCATGTCGCCCAATTGTGCGTTCCGCGGCGAGATAGGTAGCGGTGTTTGAGTGGTCTCGTGGCGAAAGTGTTTTTGGTGCTCTTGCTGTGGACCGAACAGGCCACGCGTTGTGTTTGCATTCGAACTTAATGGTTGGCTTGATGACGGTGTTGCATTTTTTTCCTTCGTCTCTTTTTGTATCTGTTTCTTTGATCATCGATTATGTGCCTGTTCGTCTCCCTTGACTCTGTTTCTTTTTCTCTGTGTGTTTTGCCTTTTTCTCTTTTGTGCCTGCTTCTCTGCTCGTCTGTCTGTGAAATTCAAACTTATTCGTGCGTGCATTCGGTATGCAGGTATAGGGTCGGTAATTTTTTGATGCGCACTGGTTTGTGGCTGAAATGAAACGACCATTTGTCGTCGTTTGGTGAGTCGGCATGCAGAGAAGCGGATTGTGATCTAGCGGCCACAGCTCAGTTGTTTTGTGTCACCTTCTGCTCAGAAAACCTTAGTGAGCTGATGGCAGGCAGTTTCTGAGATTAATTGAAGCTTCCAGGGCTTCAAACGGCCTCAAAGAGTGTTTTTGCCAGAGTAGCCTCCTCCCCAGACCCCTGCCAGATGCATGCAGTGACATTTGCAACGCTTGTAGTAACGCTGAACAGCTCTCTACATATTTGCCGCCAACCTTATTACGACAGACATTTTACGTTGACCATTAAACAATGTGCCTCTAGTACACTTGCTCAATAATGCAAATTCTACCTTTACACGGATCGCTACGGATAGCCATCACACTTTCCACAAAGGCTTGCTTGTCGGCTTCCACCTGCGATTGACAATTTTTGAATTTCAGCTTTGCTCAAGGGTTCCTGTGCGCACCACCATTATAAGAGTACAACTCCTGGTACTTTTGATTTCGCCTCAGTAAGTGCGTTCTTCTCATCAAGCAGAGGCCAACAGCGAGCGTGAGCACTGATACGCTCCAGGCCTGGCAATGAAGACTCAAAAGCAAGAAATGCGAAGTCATTTTGCTAAAATTCGTGATGATTGGCATTGGTAGGTAACTGGGCATAACGTTTGCTGTGCTTTACGCGACGTGAGGGCTACTGGAAAGACACTTTATTGAAAAATACTTATTTGTAGCCTGCTGTATGCACTGGTATGACCGGAAAAGTCTTTGTGCTCAACACGACAAAATTACCTTCATGCTCGCCTAGAGCCAGTTTACGCATGTTTTTGCTCTTCCTAGGCTAGTACCAGCTGTTTACACCGACCCAAAAGTTAGCAATATCTAGTCTAGGATGGTAGAGTTTTTACGGCGTAGGGTTTAGGGATTGAGAATTAGAGTTTAGGGCTGGATGCGTGCTGCATACGGTCAGTGGAGTGTACAGTGTAGGTTTTTGGGCTTAATTTTCTACGGCAGCGTACCTTAGCGTGTCATACTCTGGCCGTAAACGCCCATGTTGCTGTGTAAACAGCTGATTTGGAAGACTGTGTTGAAAGACGAATTTCTGCCGACAACCAATATCGGGGCAACCTTATTTCAGAGGAGATGGAGCTGCACTTTTTCTTCTATTTGCGTATAGTCTGGGAAGAACAGCTTAATGGGATAATTTGAAGGACTAGAGCACAGATCACCAATGCGAAACAACATCGATGCAAACATAAAGACTCCTGCCAAACGCAAACACTTTGAATTTAACAATACTGGGACCACCAGCAACAGCCTTCATGCAACGCTTAAAATTTCTCTCGAGGATTGTCATCTTGTGGGATATCGAACTAGAGTCTAGACATTAACCCTTAATATCTCAGGGTTTATAACTGCAATGGAATACGAAGTTGTGTTTGCTATTAGGAAGCCCTTCACATTGTATCTTAAACCTAGACCTTTTCAGCTCTCAAACGTAGCCGAGAGCGAAAGGTTAAGCTTCTCTGGTTCTCCTGCAGCCTTCTTGCTGCCCCTGTTGCTTCTTCTGTAGCATGAGTTAGCGCAGGACCTTCACTTGGCTTTCGTAGGTTGCGTGTAAACGCTTCCAAACGTCCTGCAGGTACATTCAGAGGTAAAGCATGCAGCAAAGAAAGCTTCGCTTCCTTTGCTTCCCTGTGTGCATGCGTGGGACTGGCTTGTATTTCTGGCTGCAGCGAGAAGCGCTGCAACCCCATTTCTGGATGCCACCCCCGCGCAACACCCAGTCCCTGAGCTCAACGCCCAGGACGCCTAAGGGCAGGGGAAGGTGGACAGCTGCTTTTGGGAAACTCTTGCTTTAACTCTTTACCTACATTGCAGCTCGTTTCTCACCTAGATTGAGGCCAGAGAACAATTGTTATACATGGTAGCAACGCATGGTTCATCGGGGCAGGTGCGGGCACGGGCCCAATCCCCACACGTGAGGGGGGGTCGACGCACGGTCTGGAACTCCAGCAAACGGAAGCCAGCTTTATTTCGGCATCCAATCCCGGTGAAAATGAATTCTCGCCAAAAACGATTCAAGAGGAATGCCTTCGGTTGTGCCGTCCTACGCGATATGATGGGCGCCGGGATGCACAGGCCGTAGAGGAGTTCTTTAGTTCGCTAGACTTATACCTCCGCTTACAAAATACCCCAGAAGAATTCCAATTACTGCTGGCCTCCTCCTTATTAGAGGGGGATGCACAGCAATGGTGACTACACTTAGGCAAAGGCTGCCTCTGCTTCGGCCTGTTGCTGCCTAGGCCCCAGAAGAGTCCTATATCATTACCAAGTCCTTGCGTGTCTGGGTCAAATTCAGCCCCCAGCCAATGGCATCTATCCTGGCCACGATTGCTATACTCTGAACACATTACCTGTGTATCTTTCGAGTAGCTAACACTCAGCGCTTCCCCCTTGGGCGCCTGCAGCTGTTCCACGTCACAACTTGTCGCCCTTACCGGCAAGCCCTTTAGTTTCACGCTATGCCATCCCTCAAATTCCTGCACTTTCTCACCCTCAGCGCTCTTCTGAGGGTCAGTCAACCCGTTTTGCATGTGCAGTGCCCTGTATTAAATCGAACACTGTCTCTGTTGTCCCTCCTGTAGTACCTTCCTCCCTTTCTGAGCACCTTGCTGGGGCACCCGATCTCGTTTAGTACGCATGCTATCTTCGGACTCAGCATTGTGTGGGATGTTCTCCTCAGTGCAGCAAAGCTTTCATGAGCCCCAAGCGTCCCAGCCCTCTGCTGCTCGTTTATCCTTGGCCTAGGCCGGCTCACCCCTAAACTACCTAGGCCCTGTCGTTTCCCTGGTGTGTGTCCGTTTGTTCTCGCTTCGATCGTACATATGTTTCTTTCTTAGTCTGATCGCTTGATGGGCACGACCTGGCCCAATGGCCAAGTCCCCCACACTTGTTACATCGGTTGCCTTCTTTCCTACACTACTCTACCTTCTCATTTGAGCAATCCCTTGCCCGATGTCCACGTCCATTGCAAGAGTAGCACTGCACCTGTGCCCCCTTTTCTCTTTCCCCGGCCTATTTAGTGTCCCTTTGGTACTGTGTACCCCTTTGCCTTTCTGTGCCCCCTTTTTTGGTTTGCTGCATCGTTTGTTCTGACTTCCATCCCTTGATGTGCGTCTGCCTCTTGTCCTGTTTGCTATTCCGCACCCAGCCTTGTCTGATCAGCTCGCCACGCCCCTCCACTTCTCGTCTGAACGTGCCAGTCGTATACTCGTACCAAGTCGCTGCTCGGTTTGCGACAAGGGCCCTCTCGGCCAGCATCTGCTCCTGGATCTCTACCCAAGAAGCAATTTCATGTTTCAGCACCCTCTTTACTATCTCGTAAGGGAATCTTGGCAAGAACAACTCTTTAAGAGTTTCTTCTGGCTGTTCTTCCCCTTCCGTCAGCACACTGGAAAGCCTTTCAACAACCTCTTCGAAGTTGCCGTTGTATTCGATCTCTTTGAGTTTGGGAATAGTCATTACCACAGTCGTCGTGCCGAACCTTTGCATTATGAAATCGTCAACTTGTTCCCAGGTTATCTGCCTCAGCTCTGGTTCCCTTCTATTTGCTGTACAATAGTGTACCAACGCATTTCCTGTTATAAATGAGACCACATTAGCGAGTCATGCCTCTTCGCCATTTGTAGGGCATTGTAGTATTGGTTAATTTGCATTAGGCACTCCCGTGGGCGCTCTCCGCTGAAGTCCGGTGGAAAGCGATGACTTGATCTCGAGTACATATACGGCCGCTTTTAACAATTTCCCTATCGTATCATCGCCGGGAGGGGCAAATGCAAGGTGAACAGCAGCAGCCGTAGCAGCAGTTTCCGGAACCACCGCCTGAAACGCTGCAGCGCCAGGAGCTGCCGCTCCAACAGCAGCTGTAGTGAATATTCCCTACAATCAGGGCAACAATGCCGTGTTCGTTGTGAAATGAGTGAGGGTTGTATGAATAGTGGAAGTGTCTGTGAGTGCTTATTGATGTACATTGAATATAACATTGGTGAATGCATTAATGATTCTCTATGGAGTGACCATTGATATTATAGGAGAGGCTGACATGAGCCTTGGTGCAAAGGTTATTGCAAAATGCTACGCCGTCTCCTCTCCCAGCCCCAAAGGCCGCAGTGCCTGCTCTATTGGGGTTGAGAGATAATAATTTTCAGAGAAAAAAAACCTGAGAGAACTAGTATCCTTTAACCTTTGTTAGTTGGGTATGTTGTTGTTCAGTATGATAGATATTGTTTGTCAGCTCGCAATACTCAGCTGTGGGGTTCTAGGGTTGCGCCCCACAGTAGTCCTTCAGAGATACAACCTAGTAATACGTAAAGCTAGCTGCAAATATTTGTACTAAAGAGAAACACTGTAAGTTATCTTAACCAGATCTCCGCATTCCAAGAGAGAGACTGCTGGCTCTCCCCCACTTCTCATCAGCTTACAGGGCCCGCAGTACCTAGAGTGTTATAGGATGTCATCACCCCTTCGTGTGAGGGAACTTGGTTCCCTACTACGCCTCATAATTGTGTTTTTTCATCTGCGTTTGTGTTGTCGTTGGGGGCACGAGATGCAGAGCTGCTGGCAAAAACCAGTGCATCTACTGGAGTGAGTGGGATCAAGTTCCGAGGGCCGCATGATCCCTTAGGCCCCAAACTCCGCTTAGTCTGGCCCTTCTGAAGGGTAGTTTCTCACACAGCCCCAGTCCGTGAAGGTACAGCTAGTCTTATGTGCCCCCCGCGAGGTAGCTCGCAGTGTTTAAGAGGAAACAGACAAACAGGGAGGCAACATGGTTAGCCTGCAGGGGCATCGAGGTAGCAAAATATAAAAATTTGCAGAGACCTGACAAGAGGTCCACTAGCATCTAGCCGTCCGTTGCCCGCTTCCGCGACCTGCCTGCATGCACACTAGGCGTAGGTAGTGCAGGGTCAAGTAGAGCGCGTAGCTCTTCTGGGGGGATCGCCTCCCCTAAGCGACCCTCCGAAATCCACTCATGATCACGAGTGATTGACCCTTTTACGTAGTAAAAGGGTCAATCACTCAATCCATGCCTGGAGAATCTGTGCCCTTGAGGCTGGGCAGCTCGCGAGGTCGTTGCAGCGGTTTCCTTGCTATAGTGCGAGGGAACCGCGATGATTTCGCGAAACGGCTTTAAAGAAACCAACGTTAATAGTGTGGCGGCATCTCCACTTTGAGGGTAAATCGATAATGTACGCCGACGCGTTGATCCGAGAACTCACCGCAAACGGTCCAACGCATCGTGTGGCGAGCTTCTTGGGTTGGTCGCTTTCCTGCGCGCTACGGAGGGCGTTCGAATCCACTAGAACCACGTCGGCCTTGTTGAAACTAAATGCGGAATGTCTTTTGTCGTAGTTTCTGGCTTGGCGTTCTTGTGCCTGTCGCATGCAATCCCCTCGCTGCTCCACGCTGTGTGCAGAACTCAGAAGCCGCAGTCGATCGGGGCTGGCTTCGAACAGAGAGGTCGAGCGGCGGACCAGCCAGTGTAGTGGAGTTTCTGTGTAGACCAGGGACGCCGGGGAGCAGCGAGTGGGCGAATGCACTCTAGTGTTATAAACCCATTCTGCACAACCAAGAAAGTCAAGTCAGTTAGATGAGTTCTGTTGGGTGTAAAGTCGTAAATACTGCACTAGCGTGCGGTTAATTCGTTCAGTCAGGCCTTCTGCCTCCGGAGGGTTGGCGGTGGTCATGTTGTGGTCAATGTTGAGCCGTTTGCATGAGGCGGCGCCAGAAGACGCTATTGAACTTCGGATCCACTGTCGGGAATGATGCTTTTTGGGAACCCGTGGAGCTTGCACACATGATTAATACATAGTTGAGCCACTCCCTCTGCTGTGAACGTGCTCTAGCAGGGAATGAAGCGAGCCTATTTGCTAAGCCGATCCACCACGACATACATACTATCATGGCCTCTGACGGGTGGTAATCCCACTAGAAAATCTATGGAGATCTCCGTCCAGATCATATCGGGAATAGGCAGGCTGTGCAGGAATCCTGGTTTGAGGGTGTTTCGCGACTTTTACTGCTAGCAGTCCGGACAAGAGAGGGCGTATTCCTCGACTGACGGGCGCATCCTAGGCCGCCAGAAGGACCTGGGAACACGGTCCACCGTTGTCTTGACCCCACCATGAGCTGCTAAAGCATGCTCATGCACTTTCCTTAAAGGTTCCGTGCGAAGCGAGGCTGGAACGTACAATCTACGAACACCACGCCTCGTGTAATACCAGAGGAGATCGCCATCGACGCTGTAGTGCTTGGCCCGTCGCCCATTGTTGAGCTTAGCTACGACTGCAGCCGCATGAGTATCTAAGGAATAAGAGGAACACGATTTCGAAAGAAAGCGAGAATCCCCACAAAGACGTGCGGTTACAGAACATTGTGCCTGACCTGTGGGGCGTCTGGAAAGTGCGTCAGCGACCAACTTGGTAATACCCTTGATATACTTGAGGGTGAAGTCGTACTGCGTGAGCCGGGAAAGTCACCGAACAACTCTTTCGTTATCGTAGTCTTGCAAAACTCGTCGTCAGGTGTGTCAATGATTGATGATCAGTCTGAACCGTGAAGTGCCTGCCGTGCAGGTAATGCCGGCACTTTTTAACAACCCAGCAGACCGCGTAAAGCTCCTTTCGCTGACCGGATACTTTTGCTCCCTCTTTGTGAAACGTTGTGAGTAGCAGGCGATTATTTGATGCTTATTTCGATCCAGTAGCCTGCTGAGATAGCATAACCCCGGCTGCAAGCCTCTCCTATAGTCATATCAATGGTCACTGCATAAAGAATGTTTAATGCATTTACCAATGTTATACTCATTGCACATCAATAAGCACTCACCGATATTTTCACTGTTCATACTACATTTAGTTCACAACGAACACGGCATTGTTACCGTGATTGTAGTGAGTATTCACTATAGCTTGGCAACACGCTTCACCATTGTATTGACCCAATCATGACCTGATAACGCATTATCATGCATTTTTCACAAAACATCCATGCGGAGCGAGGCTGGAATGGACCATCTAGGAACGGCATGCTCCGCTTGAAACAGCAGGAGGTCGCCATTGATGCTGTAGTGCTTGAACCGTCGCCCATTGTTGAGTTTAGCTAGCATCGCAGCCGCATTTGTATCTAAGAAGTAAGGAAAACGCATTTGGAGATATCACAAGAATCATCACGGAGAAGTGCAGTCACAGAGCATAGGACCGCATTGGCATGAGTATCTAAGGAATAAGAGGAACACAATTAAAAGATAAAACGAGAATAATCACAGAGAACTGCAGTCGCATAGCATTGTGCCTGACCTGTACCGCATCTGGAGAGTGAGTCAGTGACCACGTTGATGATACCCTTGATATGCGTGACAGTGAAGTCGTACTGCTTGAGCCGGGAGAGCGACCGAACACCTATTTCGTTTTCATCGTCTTTATCAGCGGGGTTTACGGCCCTAGGGATCATAGTGTAGTGAATACTCACTACATTCACTACATTCACGGCAACATTGCCGTGCACGTTCTGCAAGAGTCACGGTTGACTGAACAATGGAAATGCATGTGAGTGCTTATTAATTAATTTATGAATGCACTAAATGCTGTGTACGAAGAGACGTACTTATATGACTATATGAAAGGTTCGCATGAAATTTCGTTCAAAAGGTGCTGCAAAATGCCAGGCGTCTCCTCTCCCAGTCCCAAAGGCAGCAGTTCCGGGTCGATTCGGGTTGCAGAACAGAATAATTTCGAGAAAAAACAGGAGAAGCAGCCTTCTTTAGGGCTTGTTATCCTTGTTGTTTTGCTGTAGCAGATGAGATGTCTGAGTCTCTGTAGCAGTTTAGTTGAGGGGGTCAGTTGACTTTTGCCTGTCGGCCCGTTCTACTCAGCAGTTCGGTTCGAAAGTTTTACCCCACAATAGTCTTCGAGAGGACCAGCCTACCAATGTGCTGTGTTTATTGAAAATGTTACACTAAAGTGTAATATTCTGTATCAACGTGAACAAATCTCGGCATAGCATGTGAGGGACTAAGGGCTAAGCCCACATATCATCAGCTTACTGGGCTCGCTGCACCTCCATTGTTATGGATTCACATCACCCCATCGCGTGAAAGAACCTGGATCCCCAGAAGGCCTCACAGTTGTGTATTTGTCTGCGCCTCCGTTGTCGTCGCGGGCAAAAGATGCAGCGCTGCGGAGATTGTTTGGTGCATCCATTGACGCGAGTGGGATCAAGCTCCGATGGCCTTATGATCCCTAAGGCACGAAACTCCGCTTAGGTGTCCTGGTGCATGGAATTTTCTCACAGGAGGAGACAGTCTAACAGAAAGTGCAGAGCACATCGCTACAGGTAACGATCCAAGCCAACCTCCCAGGTAACCACGAAGTGTTTCCTTTGCAGCATGCTTTTTCTCTGCAAATACTTACTGATGCTCGCCAGTATTTGCTTGCAGGCGGCCTGAGAAGCCCAAGCGAAAGTTGTTTTGCCAATTTTGGGCACACTATGCTACA